TAATTTTTTGTATTTTTAGTAGAGACGGGGTTTCACCGTGTTAGCCAGGATGGTCTCAATCTCCTGACCTTGTGATCTGCCTGCCTCAACCTCCCAAAGTGCTGGGATTACAGGTGTGAGCCACTGCGCCCGGCCCCACTATTTATATATTTTTAATTATTTCAAAACTAAACGTTTTGTAAGAGAAATGTCATTCTCCAGGAGAAATTGGTTCTATGTATGTTCATGAACAGAGGTAAAATGCCAAGTGGAAAAAAAAAATGCTGGCTGCTGGCAAAAGAGACCACCCAAAAGAAAAGGGCAGGAGTAAGAGGGGAGAGGCCAAGACAAGTACCATTCCTCCAACTTGGAAGGGAAGGCTGAGATATAAAACTCGGCTGATATTCAGAATTGGAGAACAGGTCAGATCAGAAGTCACACCCATCTGCCTCAATCTGTTCCCTAAAGTTGACCTGTCCGGAGCTTATGGAAGAGGGGCAGGGCAAGGCAAGTGGGGAGAGTACCATCTGGAACAGGGGTGAGAATTCAGAGCAGCCACTAGGGGAACATGCTAGGGATTAAAGGGGAATGAGTGGTTTGTAGGAATTTGTAGAGGCAGATGACTTAAGGATACGCACATTGAAAGCCGGTCAGGACACAGGTAAGAGCTGCTCTCCAGCCTTGGAGCTCAGGCAGAGGTCTTCAGCAGAGGTATCCAATCTTTTGGACTGCAACTTTCACCCAACACCCTCACTCACCCTGACTCAATTTGATCTCCCCGGTTAATCTTGCTGGCAAAGTGCCATCACTTTCCAACTCCCATCTCAACAAAGACATCGGCAGCTGTTCCCAGTCCAAGACAGCTCCTTTATGAAGTCGAGATGGAACTCTGGGTCTGCTGGTCACATTTAGAACCAGGGAAATGAGACAGAATTCCACATGAAGAACATAAATGAAGCATCAGAACCCAGCCCACAAACCATAATCACAGAACCGTTTTTCATCCAATTTCTTTTATTGAAGAAGTTGAACTTACAGGAGACAGTGAAAGGAGCTACAGCACAAACAGTCAGGACAAACACAGATACAAAATAATACATAAAACAAGTAGCAGGAAACTGGAAGATGCCAGGGAGTCCTCTTAAAAAGCAGGGTTCACCAAAACCAAAAGACCAACTGGCTCCAGGACAGTGAAAGGCACAGTGCCTCCTCTGCCCTCTGCATAAGCTCCAATTCTTTGAAAATAAGAAGGAGACAAGAGCGTTATGTGTGAAATGGGGGACTTACAAATCCAGACTTCAGGGCGGGCCTAGACTTGATGCAGCCACTGCAATCTTGATCCATGGCGCAATTCAGCAGACAAGTTGGTGAAAGGTAATTGTCTCCAGAGATTTCAACCAGGGATGTGGATTCCAGATGTTAAAAGACACCCAGCTAAGTCACATTTCACGTGGAAGTGGACGTTTTCAAATGCTACATGACCACCAAACAAAACATTCTCCCTGGGCCTTCACCTCTCAGAGAACACCAACATACAAAAACAAAAGTCTGTTCTCATTTCATCAATAATGGAGACAAAGGATTTTGTCAAGAGTAGAATTTTAAGAGTGGATGAATTAAAAAGTCATAAAAAGGTGCAAAGGTCCTATAAATCAGGGTTTATTAGACTAGATATTAATAAATTAGAAGGGTTTTTTTTTTTAAAAAAAAGGCTGATGGCCCTAAATATGAGTTTCCCATTGTTTCTTAGCTTAGTATATTCATTTTCCAATACAATGTTAGCAATTCTTACAGCAGTTCCTGCCATTTTTCCAATAACACACATTAATCAAATGGTATATATTTTTCACTATAACCAATCTTCACTGATTAATACATTTATCAGTATTTTAATATGGCCTAAAATATGCTAAATTCTGTCATAATAAATATGTTTTTCCCTCCCTGGTGAGAAATATGAGTAAAAAAAGGAAAATACTATGATGCATTCCACTTTTTAGTTAAGGAAAAGTTCAGAAAACTCCCACCTTTTTACAAAAGAATGAAAATATGATCCTAAGTAACTTAGGTTAGAAAAACAGTAACAGGGCCAGGCACAAATGCCTATAATCCCAGCACTTTCGGAGGCTGAGGCAGGATGATCACTTGAGCCCAGGAGTTTGAGATCAGTCTGGGCAACACAGTGAGACCATGTCACTATTAAAAAAAAAAAAAAATTAAAAAGAGAAAAAAGCAGTAACAATAAAATAAGTGGAAAGGAGGACATTTAGAAGAAAAATCTCCTCGATAAACCTCTGCACAAAAATAATTTTGGAAAAAAGTTAGAAGTCCTACCTGAGATTAATTCAGGCATCACTTGCTAATGCTAAAGAAATTCTGACTGGAAAGGAGCAACTCAGGGGGCCAAGAGCCACACTAACAGATGCAATCACCTGCCCTAGAGAAGGTGCTTCCTCACACTCCCACTTAGCTGCAATGCCAATACCGTCCTTTCAAGCCTCAATCCTACGATTTTAAGATATCAAAACTTGTTTCCTTCTTCAGCTCTATGTAATTTGTCAAAAATTTCAAGATGCAACTCTATAGCCAAAAAGAGAGCCTTTTTCTTTTTCAAACAAAAATAAACACGAGAGAAGTCACTGACTGCTAAAACTAGCAGGGACCCTCAAGATTGGTATCACAGGATCACACTTTCACCTGGCAGTAGGTTGAGGTCAGTAACTCAGCTCACATGGTATTTAAAACCACACAACACTACCCGACAGAGTTACAGGTTCAGATGCCAATGGTTTCAAAACAACATGATTCAGGCCGGGCGCGGTGGTTCATGCCTGTAATCCCAGCACTTTGGGAGGCCGAGGCAGGTGGATCACGAGGTCAGGAGTTTGA